GGAAAGAGGAGCAAAAAGAAGAGGCCTCTGCCGAGAGTGGAAAGGTGAGTAGGACAGAAAAAACAATTAACCCGTTATTAACCCTCTTCCTTCCTTCCTATGCATCTCTGATTTAGTCTGTAAAGTGCAAATCTAACTTGCCTTCTGCCTGATTTCAGACTAACACAGCTAACTTTCTGTTAATTGCCTGCCAGCCAGCCAGTGAGCCCTGAATTTTGCAATCTAAGTTTCCTGCTTGGAAATGCCCTGACTTCTGTATATTTGTGGACTTAATTAAAAACATGAGAGTATACAATAACATAAAATTTCTGAGACTGTCAAAACTTAGTACTGACAAAGAATAGTGAAAATATCAAGAATCCAGGACCATGTCTCCAATGTTAATCAATACATGTACTAGTGATTAACCCCGAGTTGGGAATGGGAACTGGCTCATGCTATAATAGCTCTGTACCTAGGGGTCTACCAAATTTGGGGCAGCTGCTGGCCAATTTTATGCAGGCGTCTTCACGGGCAGAGCATGAGGCCTACGCTATAACCTCTGATAGGCTGAGGGGCCTTGGTGGCCCTGCTCCTTCTAACTACTTGGCTAGAAGGGCTGACTGTCATGCAGCCCCCTTTCCTTGCTGTGATTTAAGTATGTCTCTATCTGTAACCAGCAAGAAGCAGAGAGCTGATGAAGGGATACTCATATGGTGAATGAGATTTGCATGTAAGAAAAGAAAAAGCATTATATTTCTTTCTCTCATTCTGTAGTAATCATTTTAATAATCCAAAGCAGATTGCAGCTAATATGGTAGCAAATCAGATAAATTTTATCCTTAAAGGAAATGATGTGAAAATAGAATTAATGAATATATTTTAAAATAAAATATATTTTTATTTCTTCACTTCATAGGGTTCATCCTCAGCTTATTAACCTTTATGGAGTGAGTATCGATGACCTAGATGATTCCAAAGCAACATGCGGTTGTCTGTAGAAGAAAAGTAGTATTCTTATGCTGCAGTTTCTGCATAAAGGAATCATGTTCTAATATACAGAATAATTTTGGGGACGTAGACCTTCACTTACTGAATTGTTGGGTGCAGGATCAGTGTCTTAATTAGAACATTGTTAATAATTAATATTATATATGAGTTTTGCTTATATGAAGGTGTTTAATACATTAAATTGTATATTATTAATGTAAAATAACATTTATTTTAAATTTTACAAACTGAAAATTAATAGTCAGTATATTTTTGTATACTTTATATATGTGTTTTTTTTAATGTGATTATCAGAATTCCTGTAAAAATTAAAGCTGTTAAACGAAAAATATTGCAGTGATTAAATAGGGCAGTTAATCATTGCAGGTTTCCAGTTTACTTTGCAGCCGGATCGCACCACATTTGTTTGAGTTCAGAAGCAATTCATATTAGAAATAATCTTGTTCAAATCAGTAGAACTAGTGATTGAGTAAAATGCTACTTGCTCTCTAGCAGGGTGGTATATTCTGGATTTTTATGATGCACTATAATTTTCAGATAATCTGTGATTTGTAAATGAGATGATGTAAAAATGTTGTTGCTATCAGCATATTTTTCATTGGGAAACAAAAAGGCATATGCTGATGCCATAAACTAATTAACTATATACAAATAGTATAAAAAGGAATGAAGGCTACAATCTAATCTCTTTGTAAGAGCACATTCAAAGTTTATCAGGTTTGGGGTGTACTCCATATAATGCATTATTTTTGGTGGAATAAGGCTTCTAACTAGATTTTTAATATTATTTTCAGTGTGCATAAACTTTGTCTGCTTCTGTACAGGGTAACAATAAATTAAATGATAAACACTAATATTTTGCGAGACAGAGACAAATTAGGATTCCTGTTTTTAGGGGAACTGACCTTTCATGTACCCTGGCTATGTCTGAAAGATTTGCCCCTCTGCTTTTCTGCAGGAGGACTATAATATTGGATATTGGCATTATTCATTACTCATTATTAAAAAAAAATTAGGTAACTTGACTGTTGGATTACTACAGAACATTATGCTGCATCACCTCATGACTAAAACACATGCTTCTATCTATTTGTCCCTAAAGTCTTGATTTTAAAGCAAGAGTTAATTACTGGCAGTTTAAGTTGTGCATGGTTCTTTGTTGAATCAGGATGGATTTAAATGGAATTACTGAGGATTTACGAACCGAGAACAAATTTATTGATATTTAAATATACATTAAATTTTATCCCATAAAGCCATTTGTTATCAGAAATTTGCTAATTTCTTTCTTTAAATCCTATATTTCATAAGTACTGCAGTACTAGCAAATTAATGTAGATAAGTATGTCTCTTGAAAATGACAAGGAACAGGTTAGTGTCTGTTTCTGTCCTTACTCATATGTCACTCACATTAAGTTTACTTGGAACAGCAGGAAAGGCATTTGTGGACAGGACTTCTCCTAAAGAAGTTGCCAGATAGCTTGCAGTATAGGCAATTACAAGTAGAGACTATGGTCAAAGTTCTGCTTTCCATTTACACTAGCATAAATTCAAAGTAACTCTATACCCTTCAAAAGAACTACTTTAGATATGTGCCATTACAAATGAAAACAATTGAGTACTATAAGTTAACTCCTTAAAACGCAGTACTGGATTTAGCCAATACAAATTACATTTGATTGTCTAATAAAGAGTACAACTAAATGTAACAGCACAGATTCAGCTGCAGTTTATTACATGACTGTAAATTATTGTCAGCAAAATAATTAATCGAGAGAAGATTCACTGTATATTAGTTTATTTTTTAAAATAAAAAAGTACATCATTGTAAACCATGATATCAGGCATTTTACATCTTAATATTTTGTTTGTTCAATTCATGAATTTTGCTTGTATGTCAGAAATATCCAACTGTGAAGGGACAGTGGGAAGTAACAAAAGACTTGTGTCAGGAGAAAAGTCCGGGGAAAGAACAGGAGGAGAACGGAGGTTCTGGAGCAGCTGCTCTGTGATGCTGGGGTGAGCTGCGGGAGAGAGGGGCGGGGCCAGAGAGAACCGGGAACAGGAGGAGATGGATGGGCAGAGCCGGCGGAGGGAAATGTGGATGAGAAGTGGGGAGAGAGAGAGTGGCGAAAAAGGGCTCTCAGGGAGTGAAGAGGACCAGCAAAACTAGCTGGTCAGAGAGACTTCGGAGAGAGAGACTGGGGAGGTAACCTTTTAGAGGAAGCAAACCAAGACCAGGGAACCATCCTCTCATGATGAGGATATTAAGACTGGGTGGTTGTTGTTGTCGGGGGCATGTCCACTACCTGGTCCAGCAAGACTGTAATTTAAAAAGAAAAGAGAAAGAGGGAGATTGTAGAGAGAAATCACTGCAGGTCCCAAAGAAGAGGGACCGTGCCTGGAGAATAAAACGAGGAACGGAGGAAATAGGACCAAGGGCAAAGAGAGCTGGACTGATTCAAAGCCATTGATAAACAGTATTTGGGCAAGTTGAATTTTATATCCAAACTGGATCTTGTTTAATTTGGTATATCTATGTAATTGATGTAAAGAAGCAACGATAATCCCGCTAGCAGCAGGGCCACATGTAAATTAGAAAAATTGATAAATAAAGGACATTGTAAACTTGACTTGAAAGGCGTCAGGCTATCATTGTGAGTTGAAGATCAACCCATTGTACATCTTGCAAGGAAAACTAAAAAGGGAGAGTACAGGTGCATTCCTTGGGCTCCTCTTCCTCATGACAGATTGCCAGCTACTATGATGGTAGATAATAATTAACAACTCCTGACTTATAACACCGTGGATCAACAACGATGTGGCAGGCAAGAGTTGGTAAATACCGTTATAGACAGGTGGTGCAATCTGATATACGGAAGACTAGGAGAACACACCGGGTCAGATGTGACCTCCCCCCCCCCCGACCAATGTACATGTTTATAATGCAATTTGAAAAGCAAACATAATTTTCTAATCAACATTAGTGCATTAGTTTTGGAAGTATTTCCAAAAATCTGTTGTGATCTCATTTTTGTATTGTTTGTATTAAAGGAATTTGAATGCTTCTTTCAGTATTTGAGGCATCTTTTTACAACACATCAGGATAATCTGTTAAAAATTCATTAAAGTGCAGTGGTTCACTTGACTCAGTGTTCCTAAAATGTCATTGTGGAACATAAACTTTTTATATATAATTCATAGTTTTTCTAGACAAAAATATTTTTGTACATACACAGTTGTTTCCCTTTATTATAATGCAAAATGTTTTAGAACAGAAAACTGATTGGTAGTCATCAAACCTGGTACAGTAGTTAGGGGTGTGACATGCATGATACCAGCTGAAATAAATAGAAACTACAGGTATAGAGAAAGTTTGGCCCTATTATCTTTGAATTTTCTCTTTCCTGCCTTAAATGTCACTTTTGGCAAAAAATACGTACTTCAAGAGCAAGATAAATTACTTTCAGAAAGCGATTTTGTTACTATAGTCCAAGACTAAATTCTGAACTGACATTACACCATCAATTTGAGATGTATTCAAACATATTATATCAAAAAGAGAAAGTTTTCTTCCAGCAGTCCAGGGTGTTCCTATTAAAATTAATTTAGTGCCGAGATGAAGTTGCACAGAACTAGGGAATGAAATTCTTTCCCTTTAGAACAGGCACTAATTCACTGAAGATAAGTTAATTTTTGCAGTCACCTATCTAGCTGCAGAGGCCACCTGTTGGAGCAGAGAAATAGTTCAGTGCCCATATCCACTTAGTCTTTAACCTTTCCTTTGACTGTCTCCAGCAGGTGCCAGCTGTAATAATTTTTCTGCTGAAAAATGAATCTTCACAAATACTTCAAGTTAAATCTCGCTGCTATTTCATTAAACAGCTTGCATGTGGTTGGTTAACTAAGGATAGTACCTGGTCCAACAAAATTAATTGATAATAATAAAAAAAAAATCTAACACCCCCCCCCCCCAACTTTAAAAACCACCCCCCCCCCCCCCCAATCTTTTCTCAGATGCTGGAGTAAAAATATGGTCCTAAATAATGCAATGCTGCAAATATTCCTGCAAATAAATAAAATAAATATTTGTTTTTGAAAACATAAATGTCTTTCAGGGCCATCATTGGGCCTTGGTGTTTGAGTACAGCTAATTCTTTTTCCTGTTACTGGCAAGTTACCTGTTCAAGATAGTTAGTATTGATGACCTAAAATAATTGATTCCTTCCGTGGCTAAAAGCACTTTTGCTGCATCTCTCAAAGGTACAATATAGAACTCCTAGACCAAAGAAAGGGGGTGGCTAACATGGTTTTGACGCTATTTTGACCTTCCTATGCCCGGGATAACTCTTGGGACCTCCAGCACTATCCAAAATCTCCACAGAAGCAAAAGGAACCTCATGACTGTCTATACACAATGTATGCACAACTGTCCTCCCTGGTTGCTCTAGCCCCACCACCCAGCGTAGATTGCCAGAACAGTACAGACTACAGTCAGAAGAGAGTAGAGTGCTAACTCGGTTATTCGTTCCAGGACCAAACACTTAAGATCTCATTATCCAGGAATGGTTGATATCATACTACTTTGCAGGAACTCCTCTGGTAAGAAATGTTTTCAGTTCTATTGTGTAGTGTTCTTGCATGTATTTGAAGCCAAGAGACTGGTTATTCTGGTATTTGCAATATCATTCTTAACTGAATCTTCAGATGAAGAAACTTGTCATTCACATTTTAGTATGGCAATGTTATGTTAAGCTGTAATTTTCCACAGAGTTCAGTGGTATCAAATGTATGTTCTAAGGCAGTTTTCTTGTCATCCATATTAAGCACATAAGTTAACCTGAGTGTTAAGTTCTCTGTTTGAAAGAAGCCTTTAACTGTCGGCATAATCTTCATGATCTTCTTTTTCCTTGCCATTTACAAGGCTCAAACTTTCTCTTTCATTCTGGTCTTCATGGACAAGTTTATCTGGTCTTTTAAAGAAGCCCATCTGAAATGAATAATTTTAGATTCAGTTGGTATGTATCAGCAAATTCTTAATACGTAAGTTATTTAAAAAGCATAACAGGCTCAGATGAAATGCAGGCAGAGGTGAGCAAGAGCAGTCAGCTTTTCACCTGATTTGGGGGTTTTATGTAGTCAGGGTTGTAACTCACTACTGTAAAGAAAGATAGGCTGTTTTAACTTATGATTTTTTTTCTAATTGGTACATAGTATACCAAGGAAGAAAGTATCTCTTAAGGCAATTTAAGTATTGGGTCAGTTGCCCCTCTTCACACATACAGTATGCATAATTGGGTTGTGAACTGTGAAGTGCAGAGTTCAAAATGCTTTCCAACTAAGATCAGTAATGGAACCCTGAGATCACATGTTTATTATGGAGAATGCTAGCTAGAGAATGCCCACTTTTAATTCTCATTCTTTTTTTTTTTTTTTTTTTGACTACAGAAAAATAATAGTGCAGTTTTTCTGGGGCCAAAAAAACTCAAAGACCACAGCTATGCATTTCTATTTGATATCTCTAGGTTTATCTTGAGAAGCATATTTACAAACCTAACAGTGTTTATGTTGTGTGGCACTCTTGAAAGGATCGCAGTGCACTCCAGGCTGCCATGGCACCCTTGAGAATCACTGCTTTAGGGCTTTTCTCTGGCTAAGAGCAGACAACATTTTCTAGTATTTACATGATAGCTTAAAATGAAAAAAGCTATTCAAAGCTGGTAAGAAACACGCCCATCTACATGTCAAATAAAGATGTCAAAAACGTGAATTACAGCAACCTACAAAAACTTGCCTTTTTGATTTTGGGTGGAAATTATACAATTGTAGCCTGTAAATAAATATCAAGGGATGGCAGTGGAGTGATAGTGACTACAATAACATAAAATGAAGTGCTGATGTGAAAACAATTGAAATAAGATTATAAAGGAAAAAACCCTACCTTCCATAATAAGAACGAAAGAGCCGAAAACAAAATAATGCCAGCTACAGAACTGCTTCCTATAATTATCATGGTAACATGATATTTTGTCTTTTGGTTATGTACTCCTTCCAAAATGACCTATACAAAATAGGCAAAACATATAAACCTTGAGTATTAGTAGATTTAATTTCCAAATTATGGTAAAAATTAAGAAATCACAATATAACACAAGCTAGTAATTATTAAGCTATTAAATAGAATATGTATATAATCCTGTAATTTCTGAGATGCTTTTTCATTTAATGTACTTAAAGAATTCTTACATGTGCAACTTGTTTGCTTTTGTGTAGTTCAATGACTTTTGGATTTTTTTCTGGCGATGCTTTCGCTTTTATTTCAAACTTAAGTGTTGACGCTTCATCCTGGTTAAGGAAAAAAGACAATCATGCCTTGTGCCATCAGATGAAAGATGACAGACCACTAAAAATAAAGTGTAATATGTTGGAGGAAATTACCCCATTGTACAAGAAACGCAGTAGTTTGTGGCTTGCCTTAATTTACAAACCAAGGCAGCACCAGAGCCAAGAATAAAGCCATGACGTATGAACCCAATCCTGAACTTTAGTGCTGTCTCTCTCAAACGGAGTGTATGTGTTAATATACTTACACAAATTCACTTGGGATTATGATACTAGTTCTAATCAAAGATGACATCTTTAAAGAAGCGGAAGTTCTGACAAAGCTAAATACTTTGTGGAACAGATGGTACAAACTAGGTTCAGGTTTCTATACCAAAGGCTTTTTTTTTCCCTTTTGTTCTAGACCTGTCCCCTTTCTGTGACTAAAAAAAGAGATGTCCCCATATTAACAGAACCCTGGTGTATGACATCATTAGAATGTTCCTTGCACCAATCAACCTCCCAAGGGAGTCTTCTGACATCCCACCAGTAATGGTTGAACTACTCCATAAGGTTGTCATTAATGATAGAATGGATTTTTGTCCACTCCATAAATTAGTTTTTATGAAGGCTGCATGCGACTCCTTACTGTGCAAATAAAAAAGTTTAACTGAATTTTCTTCATAGCTTCATAAACTGTAAGGGCTGCAAGGGACCTTGCAAGATCATTGGGTCCAGCCCCCCTGCACTAGGCAGGAAATACAACTGGGGTCATGTGACCCCAGCAAGGTGACCATCCCATCTCCTCTTAATTGCACCACCTCTGGAGGGAGCTTATTCTACAGTCTGGGCACTAACTGTGAAGAAGTTTTTCCTAGTGTTAAGCCTGAAACAGTCTTCCAGGAGTTTGTGGCCATTACTCCTGGTTTTCCTCAAGGGTGCCTTCGTGAACAGTTGTTCACCAAGCCCTTGATGTACTCCCCTGATGTAGTGTAAGCTGCTACTAAGTCCCTTCTCAGCCTTCTCTTTTGAAGAGTCCCAGGTCCCTCAGCCTTTCCTCATATGGCTTGTCTTGCAAGGCCTTGATCATACAGGTGGCTCTTCTCCGGATTCTCAAGCTTTACCACGTCCTTGATGAAGTGCAGCACCTAGAACTGGATGCTGTATTCCAGCTGTGGTCTCACCAGCACTGAATAAAGAGGAAGAATAACTTCCTTGGTTTTACTTGAGATGCAATGGTTGATGCATGCCAGAATATTATTTACCCTGCAGGCTACAGCATCACACTGACAGCTCATATTCATACTATGGTCTATTATTATCCCTAGGTCCATTCAGTCATGGTGCTAGTCAGTTTGGCACCACCGAGGCTGTATGTTGGGGATTGTTTGTCCCCAGGTGGAGCACTTTACAATTCTCAAAATTGAACTTCATCTGGTTCTGATCTGCCCAACTTGCTAGCCTGTCCGCCTATATCTGCAACCTATCTTCAAGCATGACCACACTCCCTCATAACTTGGTGTCATCTGCGAATTTGGCCAGTGAGCTCTTTACCCCCATGTCCAAATCATTGATAAAGATATTGAAAAGAACTGAACCAAGCATGGACCCCAGAGGGTGCAAGATTGGCACTGGCCACTTCTCACCAGGATGATACAGATCCATTCATTAGAACTCTCTGGGTCCTACCCCACAGCCAGTTTCTTACCCACGTGAATGTCAAGCAGTTAAGCCCGCAATCCTCCAATCTTCCTGTGAGAACATCATGGTCCCATTTATTATTAGAAGTTTAACTGCAGTCATTTAAATGGAAATGAGCCATTTGGTAAGACAACTGAAGTGTTCTTAGCATGCAGGGACATCAAGGAGCACAGTAACCCAGTTTAGCACAGCAAGATAAAAGTAACTAATGCTTCAATCAACTTTAAAATATACAGGACTAAGAAATAATATAGAAAGCAAATGTTATGATGGACCAAAACAATGGTCCATCTGGTCTGTATAAGCACTCTGGGGCATGTCTACGTGAGACATTTACTGTGGGGTAGACTAATTAGCTCTGCAGTAAATGTCCCATGTCTACACATGCAGCCCTATTAGGATGCAGGAAACTAACTCAACAGCAGGGTAGTATTTCTAAATACAAGCACTATCCTGCTGTGTAGTTATTTACTGCACAGCAACATGTGTAGATGCTGATCCGGGCATAAATTGCATCCAGTCAGCCAAGCCAGCAGGGGGCCACACTTCTGTATGCTGTCTAGGCACATGGCTCAGCAACTGCAGGAGCCTCGTGGCTCAGCCAGCTCCTTCACTACTCGACACAGCCACCTGCTGCCCAGGCCTGAGCTTGGGCCATGCTGCTGCTGCCAGCCAGAGCCCGGGCCTGACCCCACATTCCCTTGGCAGCCTCAGGCTGCCCCCCAGGCAGTTGCAGCCAGAACCTGAAGCTTTCCCTGGCTGCTGCATGGGGTCAAAGCAGGGTAGAAGCATCCCTGGCCTAAATTGCTCCTCCTAGGCTCATTTAGTTGTTGTCCCAGGTGCATGTGTAGACACTGTACCTGGGAGCAGTTTACTGTGGCACAAATTTCTCCACAGTTTATTTAGTCACGTTAATTGCAGATGTAGATGTGCCCTGCAGCATTATATCCTTGAGGCGAGAAGTATGTCTTGAGCTTGTGTTTTGGTTGCAATATACCAAATGTCAAAATATCTTACACTTTTGAGACATTTGCACTTAATGCTTCAAACTGAAGCAATCTCGTTATATATTAGTAGTTCTTTTATACTGTGTTTCACTTACAAATATGGTATGCTGTGATAGTGAAATTATGTGAAATATTAGATAAAAAATATATTTTATTTCTATATTAAATGAAAAATATTATTAATTTTTCCTATCATTTAGCAAGTAAAATGGAGAATACCATACAGCTCTGTGATGTTATTAAAATGGAAATATTAACGTATGGTTTACCATTTCTAGAAGGGCAGGGGTAGCTTCCAGATGCATATGAACAGTAGCTTCTTTTCCACTCTCCATGTTTCCAAACTTACAAAGCACTTTTGTACAAAAATTGTCATCTTTCATACAGTACTGTCAAGGAGAAAAGACCAGAGCACAAGAATTAATTTTAGGTGTTTGTTTTGGATTGTTAATATCAAAGCTTCTCAGGATTTCAATATTTTTTTTCTGCTTGAAAGGTCAGGATACAATGCTCTCTACAGCTATATTAGTCAGGCTCTCAAACAGCAGGGGAGGTTGTAAGAAGAGTACAACTGGTACAAAAGGTTATATGGTCACATTTTCAAATACTAATTTTCTATTTAGGCATCTAAATGAATTCAGCAGTTCTAATAATCTGGCTGTAAGTAAATTATGCTTGTTGGTCCCCTGTCTTCTGATTTCAACTGGACCATTCACTGGGCGTCAAAGTCACTATCAGACTTGTGTTTCCTTCATAAAGTAGATTAATTTTGATTTTGCTTTCACTGGAAAGTGAGATTAATGCTCAAACGGTGAGCTAGGAGCACTGATATCCATGTGTAAACTTTTCCTCCAAGACTAACAACACACCTCTGTTCCAACTTGTGGTAACTACTTTTGATATTCCAGTGTGGATCCCCTTGAACAATATGCAGTTATCTTGTAATTATCTTAAGTGGGAGTTAAGATATTTAAACTTCTTTCTGCTTAGGACCAAAAATAGTATTTTAAAATAAAATTGTGCTGCTTAGAACACAAATGTAACTTCCCAGAAGCCTCCATTAAAATCAGTCCTGAAAAACAAATACTATATAATGGGCAATAACTTTATGCAGTCCATTTAAGGCTTAAATAAATTGAGAGGCCATGTTACTCTTCTCCAAAAGGCAGTGGGGTGGGGAGGCGGAGAGGAAGGGTGCAAGGCAAACAACTCTTACCAAAAGTCTCTTATGAGGCTTTGAAAAGAACATGACAACATCCTTCAATAGGTTCCCACTTTTCTCTGGTAAAGTACAGTTTCTTGTATAATTATTATAAATGCATTCTCCAGCAGTTGTCTAGAAATAGTCAAAGCACGATCATTCCTTGTTTTTAAACATCTCCAGGTGTCAAATAAGAGTTCTGTAAATGAAGAAACTCCAAAACAATTTAAGTTTCTAGATTTGAAAATCTCTGGTGTATTAGACGCTGAAGCTAAGCCAAGTTTTGTCCACTTTGCCTAAAAAGAGCTAAATTTTGTTGTTATGCTTATATTTTACATGTACTTAAATTATACTGAAAGGTTCAGGAGGGAGACATGCTTAGCCAGAAAGAAGGTTGCTGGAGCATCAGGCCCTTTCCGTTGGAGAGGTTGTGGGGAAGGGTGGGAATAATTATATTAGCAAACTCATGTTTTAAACAATGAGTGATATTCTTGCTTTACTGGATCCAACTATGATAGAAATAAGTCAACAGCACTGTATTTTATTCTAACATTCAAGGAAATGACAAAGGACTGTGAACTTTACATTCTGCAAAGCACCACATATGCTGACTGAAGACAAATAATTACCAGAATTTATGATGGCAACTACAAACTAAAACCAAAACTGAAAGTATTTATTGGCTGGGATTAAGGAATATAGGAATTCCCTCTTTTAGCTGTATTAAAAATATTGTATTCTACTCCCTACAAGAAATCTTCCATGCTAAAACAAAATTTACTACCAAGAAAGACTAGACTAGAAAGTTTAGGGCCAGTTCAGCACAGGTAGACTTACTGACTTAGGTTGTGACTAGAACCTCATTTAAGTTACCAGTTGATATATTTTACAGAAAGTACAGAGATGGAGTACACACATTCAGTATTCGGTCTATACTTTCAAGTAAGCATCTACAATTTTCATTATATAAATGGGTACAACACAACTAATGATGTCCTGACCCAATGATGTACTTTTTGTTTGTTTTTAGATATCTTGGCATACAGAGGAATCTGAATATTTTTCAGCATTGGGTTCCTAACCCCCCTCTGGGGTTTGTGAAGTATACAGAGACATAGCAGAGAGCTGTGCAGGAACCTGAGGTGCTCTGGTTTTTATTTCAAAGGGTGCTGCTTCTCTGATTAACTGCCTGGGACTGCTGATGAGGTCCGGGTAATTGATGGAAAAGCTGCAACAAACAGCTGAGCAGCTTATTCTTAATTCAGCACTCCTCTCTGAATTAAGTGAGTTGCAAACCACTGAGACACAAATGATCCAAGTTCTACATTTTCTGTATCATCAATACCCATCACAGTTTCTGAAATTACTATATATTTAGTTTAGAGTATCAGCCAACTCTAAATGTACTTAATATATTGACATGATTAATAACATGGGGCCTCATGTTACAGTTTTTTTGTTGCAGTGAAGTTTCATATTCAGGGTGATCAAATAAGGTATGAGGTATACCTTTTCCAATACACTGCTGTACTATCTGATTCTGTACTTTCGTTTAATTCACACTGGGCATGTCTACAGGTGAGTTAAGTTTAGTACTTGTAATAACAGGTGCTAACTTAATGCTCTGTAATTGGTGCTACTGCACAATAGCATCAGCACATGGCTTTTAGGTGACACTAATGCACAGTAAACGAATTCTACTGTGCAGCATGGCTTTTGCTGTGGCACACTAATGCACAGTAGAATTAGTCTACTGCACTTCTAGCATCTCATGTAGATGTGCCCACTGAGCAATATATAAAACCATGCTATAATATACCCTGGAAGTAAGAAGAGTATACCTTGATATCCAGGATGTTGAACAGCTTGAAGTTTCTTGGTGCAAAAGCATTAGGCAGCATTATCTCCAGTCCTATATTAGGAGCCATGCTTAGTCCAGCACTGATAACCTTGGGGGAAAGTGTGCTTTCATTCATATATGGCAATCAAGGGATGAATGCACAGCAATTACAGTAGGCAGAAGACGGCAACCGTAAAGGCAGATTCATGGTAGAATTTTCCAGTCTTACATGTTGGGTGGATATGCCAGGGGCCTAAAGATAAGTTGGTGCTCAACTTCCACTGACATTTACTCTACCAAACAATTATAAACTGAAATATACCTATAGTTATAAACTGAAATATAATACTTCTGGTCCCCTGAACCTTCCTATGTACTACCTCCTTACCAAACATGAAAAGGATTAATTAATTAGTATGGTACACATCAAATACAATTTCTACAATTGACTCCCATTTTCAAAAATATCTACCTTCTCTGAATACCCACTGAGAGATTAAGTTTAGGGGCAAAGAGGGAGATTCTTAGGGGACAGGCATCCAACTCCCACTAAATTTGAATGGGAATGTGTGCCTCCACTTATCTGCCATTGAAAGTTGTCCTGGCAACCTAGGGCACGCTTACACTTGAGCCAAGGTCAAATTTCAATCCTGGAGAGGCAGACAAGTAGTAAACAGGACCTAGCTGGGACAGCTTGTCAGAGGTGTACTTAATATATCTAAGCCAGGGGGTTTTCAACCTTTTTAAACAAGTGCACCCCTCATGTTTCCAAGTTTCATCTCATGTACACCTTTACATATTTTTCTTGTTTTTAATGTTACCAATTATGTGATATAAAGTAGGATGCACTAATTAACATTAAATTCATTATTAATATATGCATTAAATATATGCATCATAGTCTGGTTGGTAAGTCTGTTATGAGGGAAGGGGCGTGGGGCGGCAAATCGAGGTTGGGGGGGTGAATGGGGCCCTGGGGCAGGTCGTGGGACACTTGGAGCCCAGCAGCTCATCCACGGATGTGGGGGGCTCCTGCCCCTGTGCGCAACCCCAAGGCAGGCACAGGGGGCACATGCCCTCTGATCTGTGTGTGGGGTGTAGGCAGCTGGCACTGCGGGCTGTGCTCTGCACCCCACTGCCAGTGCTCCAGAACCAGTGCGATGCCACATGCCTCCTATGCTCTGGCTGTGCCACCTGCCTGGTGGTGGGAGGCATGTGGCGTCATGCCACTCTGGGGCCACCAGCAGTGGGGTGAAAGCTGCCTTCACCCTGCGCACAGATCAGGGGGCACATGCCTCCTGTGCCTGCCCCAGGGGTGTGCACAGCGGCAGGAGCCTCCCCTGCACCCCTAGATGAGCTGCCTGGGCTCCAAGCGTCCCATGACCTGCCCTAGCCCCGGGCCCCCATTCACCCCAGCCCCTGCCTGTCTCTGCCCCACTCCCTCCCTCATCGCAGGGGCCTCAATCTGCCTCCCCATGCCCCTTCCCCTACCTGCTGGGGAGGGAGGCGTGCACGCAAATGTGCATGCACTTAGCACCCCCAAATCATATTTTCTTCCTCCACCTATGGAGAGGGAGTGGGGCTAGGGGAGGGGCTGGTGCTGCACAGGCAAAGTGGGGTGAGGCATGGGACAGAGCCACAAGCAGCTCATCTGGGGAACACGGGGGGGTGGGAGGGGTGGGAAGGGAGTGGGATGCTCCTGCCACTGCACACACCCTGAGAGGGCAGGGGAGGCACGTGCCCCTGCATCTACACACAGGGCAAGGGTGGGCTGCCGCTGTGAGCTGGGACTGTGCCAGGCTCTTCCTGGCAGGGGGCGTGGCCAAGGCTGCACTCAGGGTGTGCAGCAGTGGTTTTGCCATGGGGTCCAACAGCAAATTTTGGGGTGGTTGCAGTCCCCCCCATAGCTCCACTGCCTGCCCCAAGTGCAGCCCTGCCCAGCCCCTCTGCTGGGAAGTGCCCCGTGCAGCCCTGGCCCTAGCCCACTGTGGCAGCCCACCCTTGCCCCATGCACAGATCCAGGGCACACCCCTGTGCCCTCTCAGGATGTGCGCAGTGGCGAGAGCCGCCCCCTGCACTCCCCGGATGAGCTCTGGCTCTGTCCTATGTCCTGCCTGGCAGTAGTGCCTGCCCCTGGCCCCAGTCCCACTCCCTCCCCTACCACAGACCCCTCCATGCTCCTTCCCCCACAACAGACTTACCAGCCAACCTGGCTGCTCTGTGCTGTCGAGCTGCACTCCTGGCCACTCATTCGTTCCATGTACACCCTACAACCTTTTTAAGTAACCCTAGGGATATGCAAACCCCCAGTTGGGAACCACTGATTTAAAGTATGGCTAATCCTGGGCCAAGAATAAATTGGATGACAGAGTGAAATGATGTAACTAAGAAACCTAATGCTATAGGAATTCATAATATCATCTAAAAATAAGCAAATATGGTACACTCATTCTAGCCTGGTTCACTTTTAGTAAGGAAAACAAATTAAGTTATTAGCTGATCAATCTCCCAACTGAAGTCAATGGCAGTGTTTCTATTGGCTTCATGGGGACTCAGATTTTGCTCTTCAAGAATGTTTTACTAGGCTCATGGTAGCTTCACAGAAAAATTGAAAAATATGCGAAGCTGCCATACTGTCATTGCTTTTGTAAGGCTCAGTAAATGAATGTCCTGTTTTCACTGGATGGGTCCTCATCCTTTCTGAGCCTTCCCTGGCTCCCCTATTCCTTTTTTTCTGTTTGCCAGTCAGCAGAAGTATTAGGTCTACTATAATGATGGGATAATTCTGTTCTACCCCTGTAAACTCACCTAATTTATTAGAGAAATTCAATAATATATTATAATTCTATATTTAGAATAGTATATTCTAATTCCTTACAGGCGACAGTCACTACTGTTGTTGATAGACAGTTAGTTACTGTGGGTAGTTTTTGTTTAACCCAGGACTGTCTAACTTTAGTGTGGCCAGGGACCAGGGGCTGTATGTGGCACTGGTGTGCAGAGATGCTTCCCTTCCTTCCTCACCCCTCCTCCCCCCTCTGTCCAGGCTGCCCCACCAACATGCAGGCCTTCTACCATGCAAGATGCACTGCCGGCATATGTCCACTACACACTCCCCCCAGTTGTGTGAGCTGCACAGGTGGCATGCAGACCCATAGACAGCCCTGCTTTAAGCTCTGAAACCATTTGGGAGCATTTGTTGACTGTCCCAACCACAGAGTGGTCATTTGCTTCAACAGAATCTTCTAGGGAGATATTTGTAGGCACACGTTCTCAACAGTCAAGATTTGGAGACTTGTTTCTTCAGTAAGACCAATATAAGCTAAAAGAAACATTCTCCCATTAAGTTATAAGATATGTATCTTGAGATTGGAGGAAACTGCCTTTTGCCTCATGATTGCATTAAGTATTAATATAAATTTAAGGTAACAATTTCTTCAAAGAACATCTCTTACATGGAAAGTTAAATTGATCTTTTCTTTCATGCATGTCATTGTTGGTGCATCTTCCTCACTGGATCCATAAACAAACGAAGCTGGTGATACAAATCTGCAATAGTTTAAAATAATATGACAATAAGTACATTAGTAGAAGCATAATCACATCTGGGTGACATTATCTTCTACGTAGTTCAGTCCTAAGAAATATAGAAGCCCTGTGCCTCCATGCTGTTTGTCAGTTTTATAGTACCTCTAAACCAGAATAGCTATGGAAGATCCATTCTATCATGCATTCCCCAGAACCCAACTTACACCAGATGGGCTCAGGAATACAGTCAACTTTAATTCAGGCAAAGAAGTTTCCAGGCTTGAGAGGATAAAATATTACAGAAATGAATCATTCTACAGCCCAAATAACTGACAACTAATTAACTGCAAGTGTGTTTTGTTCACACTTTTAGAATATCAGATGTTAAGTTCAAAGAGGGTCTTCCAGAAAATAGGACTCATATGGCACTAAGGGGCTGTTCATCTTTTTCCATCCCCAAGTCACCTACCACTAACCTCCGTAACAGTTGGGATTTCAAACACCTTCACTTTGATGAAAGGCTTATCAAAAGTATGTGAGGCTTTCTTTGGAAAACTAAACTGAACTTTAGTTTAAAAGGATTTTATAGGAGAAAAATAAAGAATAGAAAATTATAATTAAAAAAAACTTGGAATGTCTAAGTTTTGTACTTTTTGAAAATGTTAACCAGGCAACCAAATATAATTAGACTTGCAAAATTAAAAAAAACCCAAAAATTAAAAAAAAGCAAAAAGAAATAAAAGGACAAGAAGTCCTTTTTCAAATACATAGGGGATAAAAAGAAGGTACCGGGTAATATGGGGCCTCTGCAGGACACGCTAGGAAGTTTGGTCTTTGCCCCAGACAGCAAAGCTAACCTATTTAACAATTTCTTTGCCTTCATTTTTCTGAGTAGGGACCTGGTCATCCCCCCCTACTAGGCCCCCCATAGGCCCCGAGGGAGGCACACCCAGGCCTAGGGTCAGCAAGGACCTAGTCAGGGAACTTCTGGAGGGACTGGATGTATTTAAATCAGCAGGTCCTGACGGTCTCCACCCCAGAGTGCTGAGGGAACTAGCAGAGGTCATTGCAGGACCTCTGGCACGGTTTTACGAGCACTCATGGTGCTTTGGCAAGGTGCCAGAGGACTGGAAAAGGGCCAATGTGGTTCCCATTTTCAAAAAAGGGAGGAAGGAGAACCCAGGAAATTATAGGCCCGTTAGTTTTACCTCAGTCCTGGGGAAGCTTTTTGAGAAAATTATCCTGGCGCATGTCCACGAGGGGCCAGCAGGGGAGATTCTGCTTAGGGGCAGGGCAACCAACCTGGTGGCCTTCTATGACCAGGTCACCAAATCCCTGGATGCAGGTGTCGCAGTGGATATAGTTTTTCTGGACTTTAGGAAGGCCTTCGACACTGTCTCTCACCCCATTCTCGTTTAAAAACTAGGAGACTGGTGTCGATGCCTACACAGTCAGATGGGTCACTAACTGGCTAGAGGGCTGCACCCAGAGAGTGGAGGTGGACGGGTCTTATTTGACCTGGAGGGATGTGGGAAGTGGGGTCCCCCAGGGCTTGGTCCTCAGGCCCGCACTGTTCAACACCTTCATCAGCGACTTGGACAAGGGGGTAAAATGCACCCTGTTCAAATTTGCAGATGACACTAAGATGTGGGGGAAGTGGGCACGCTAGAAGGAAGGAATAGGCTGCAATCAGATCTGGACAGGCTACAGGGGTGGGCAGATGAGAACAAGATGGGTTTCAGCAATGGCAAGTGCAAGGTGCTGCACCTGGGGAGGAAAAACCAGCAGCACACCTACAGGCTGGGGAACTCCCTTCTTGTCAGTGCAGAGGCAGAGAAGGATCTTGGAGTCATTATTGAGGCCAATATAAACATGGGCCAACAGTGTGGGGATGCGGTCAGGAAGGCCAACTGTACCTTGTCATGCATCCACAGATGCATCTCAAGCAGGTCCAAGGAGGTGATCCCTCCACACCTCTACGCAGCACTGGTCAGACCGCAGTTGGAGTACTGCGTCCAGTTCTGGGTGCCGCACTTCAGGAGGGATGTGGACAGCATGGAGAGGGTCCAGAGGAGGGCCATCTGCATGATCAGAGGGCAGCAGGGCAGGCCCTACGAGGAGAGGCTAAGGGACCTGAACCTGTTCAGCCTCCACAAGAGAAGGCTGAGGGGGGATCTAGTGGCTGTTTACAAACTAGTCAGAGGGGACCAGCAGGCATTGGGAGAGTCGCTGTTTCTCCAAGCACTCCCAGGAGAGACAAGAAATAACGGTCACAAGCTGGCAGAGGGTAGATTTAGACATCAGGGGGCACTACTTCACAGTCAGGGCAGCTAGGATCTGGAACCAACTTCCAAGAGAAGTGGTGCTGGCTCCTACCCTGGGGGTCTTTAAAAGGAGGCTAGATGAACACCTTGCCGGGGTTGTTTGACCCCAGTACTCTTTCCTGCCATGGCAGGGGGGCAGACTTGATGATCTGCTCAGGTCCCTTCTGACCCTACCTACTATGAAACTATGAAAAAAAAGGAAGGAATAGAAATAGTGTTTATCAATGGAAAAATCTTCACTAAAGGGGTTTTTATTTCAATTTTTATATTAGTATACTATTCAGTCAATTTACCATGCAAGGCCCTAATTCTGGAAACCCTCAAGTGTGTGTGTAATTTTACTCAAGTGAGCAGTCCTTCAACAGGGCTACTCCCACAAGTACAGTAACATGCATGCTGCAGGGCTTGCAGGATCAAACCTTGTTTTAACAAGTCAGTATCATGAATGTGAATAAGCAGCATAATCCTGAAAGAAACATCTTTATGACGAAAGAAGGATATGCTGGGAACCGGGCAAATGCTGCCCGTCATCAGTCTTAATTCTGTTTGAGGGTTCATTTTTAACAACAAAAAGGGCTGCATCCAAAAAAGGACTGAAGTACCTACATTTTGCCTAAGTACAAAACTGTGATCCTGAAAACAACCACTCAGTTGCTGGAAGTGCCTCAGTTTTTCACATTGAAGCTTCCCCAGTCTCTATAGTTCTGCTTCTGTGCATGACCAGAAGGTGCCCAATCTTGACAAAGACAAACACCTTAGCAGCAAGCTCACACCTATGCCTGATAAGGATTGGCTTGATCTGGTAGGTAGTTTCAGAGCCTGGACTGAGCTCCAGAGAAAATATTGTAGCAACTGCCACTTTCTCTGAAAACTGACAAAGTGATACATCCCCCTTTTATGATTCAGAATTTACTGTACTTACACAGGATGCAAGTATTTAGTTGAAATGATTTCCCCTGCCCTAGGTGATTCAAACCCACATCTCCCACTTCCCTGGATAGTGTCTTAACCACCAGGCTGTAGCCTATTCTGGTTGGAGTACTGTCCAAACCTCTTCTTGAAATTGTTTCACTTAGAAAAAGAAAAGAGTTCAAGATTGACTGGGCCAGAGAGGAAGCATAACTCCCTTGCCTCGTGGCTAAAGCACTCACCTGAAAAGGAAGAAGAGACCTGCATCCTAGTCCCTGCTTCTGAAATTGTTTAGGTATGTTTATCCCACTTGAGCCACAGTTTTAAAAAGAACACCGACCATTTTTAAACGTTAGATAGGAGTAATGCTCCCCTACTTTATTAGCTATTGAGTCAAGTGATGGCGCCCCAGAGAAAGGTAGGATGGTAAGACAACTTGGTCCTACTGACTGGCTCTAGCCAGCTCGGTTTGCTTTGCTTAGTGTGCTGGTTTTTATGGATCTCATTCTGAGGCATCCTGCTTTACCCACTCGTTGGACAAAGTGCCCAGGCACCTTCCTCCGAGTTCTGAATTCCACTTCAGGGACTAGACACCTACACCCCATTTTGGACATACTCCTAGTCTCTTAACCCTGACTGTAGGAGAAAACTCCAGGTCGTATATTAGCTTATCCAGCATACTCATGCTTAGAACAGGGGTGGAGTCAGATTATTCCCAACCTTGATAGCGATACTCTGCCAAATATTTAGCAAGTAACTTCTGCCTCAGTTTCCCTTTCTATGAAATGGTAAATACAAAACTTGCAACTTATGTTGTTGAAAAAAAAGTGCAGGTCCTAACAGAAAGAGATAAAAGGGTGTGGAGACAGTGGAAGCAACAGCTACCTTTCCCCCACATTCATTTGAAGAAGGACCTACTGTACATGTGGAGGATTTGAGAACCTGAAGCTGCTATTCTGAAGCAGGGCCCTAAAATCCTTGATCCTGGATGTTCTTTATGTATTTAGAGGAAAAGACCCCTAAAACATACCTCTCATCCCTCCTAAGGGACAACATTGTGACGATTATTTTCAATGGGACTGGGAAAACTCAGATTCCATTACAAGTGTCTAACTACATGGAACAAGGAAGATGTCATCACAGGCAAATACTGGCAGTCAGTTCTACCTCAAGACAAGCTAAACAGCAAAGCAGTCAGTATAGCTGAGTGTAAGAGAAGATGTGCTTAACCCAAGTAATGAATGACTAAACAAAGAGACACAAGTCAGTGATGCTCAACCTCCAGCTTTTGAGCTGAATTCAACTCACAGAACCTTGTGGACATTGTCATGCAGTCCATTAACTGCCAGACAATACTCCCATTGCTCCTCCACTGCCAAATTTTGGACTGGTGGAGAGCCCTAAAGCTCGAAATACCTGGCCCCGCACACCGGATTGCCAGATTTGGTGCACAGAGCTGGGTTGGTATATGGGGTTGTTTCCCAGATCTAGTGTGTGGGGGTGGCTGCAGGGTCAACCCATGCTGGATCCAACCTGCACATCGGCCACACACTACTTACCCAGCCCACAAAGACTGAAGGTCTAAGTGGTTGGTCACTATTGGTTTAAGTGGTTACCAAAAGGTAATTTGATAAATTGAAGGATTAAAAATGAGAAGTGTGATCCTAGAATATATCACTTGAGGTAATTTCAGTAAAGATAGGGAAATATCAAATACAAGTGAATGAGGCCGCCCTCACCTGTAATGTTCTGTACAATTCTTGTGTTCTCAATCCAGGGAAATGGAGGCAAAGAAAGATTACTAGAATGATCAATAGTTTATCTTAAAAAATTATACTTAGAAGACTGTAGCTTGTGTAGTCTAGCAAAATAAAGGCTGAATGGGGACAGGATTGCTGTGTGTAAATATCTCGAGGTGTAAAGCACTAGGGAGAGAGAAGATGACAGTGTTGGCACAAAAACAAAAACTGGCTACAAACAAATTCTTGCCAAGAATTAGAAAATTTCTAACCATCAAAGCAATGTTTTTCTGTTTTTAGAAGCACTTTATTAGTTAATGAAAAGAATTATACGATGCAGTTTCTGTGATAGAAGGGCACTAGATTTTGATGATACAGGAGGTCCCTTTCAATCTTAAAATTCCTATGAAGATTTGAGAGTTTGTTCATCTTAAAAAAAAGGAAAAAGTAAGAGAAAAGGAGGATGCAGCACTACTGTCCTGTTCTTCTCTAACAGCTTCTTCCATCACAGAATCACAGTTCTTAAGAAATATTATTGAATTAAACCAGCTTCTCTGAGGGTTCCCATTTTCCAGGTAAACTGAGGATTAAAAGTGTAGAACAGAACCTACACTTTAATTTAGACCGTCTCATTTCCAGTATTGTAGTATTGTATTTTTCATGCTTCGTCTCATAGTTGGAAGAGATAAGTGAGTTATGTAGTCTTACTAAAGCATAGACAACACTCCTTTACACTTCTTGAGAAACGTAATAATGATGAACTTACCCATGGACATTTAGCTCAACTTCATGTTTCAGCGGTATAGTTAAAGCTATGGCATTATCCAACAATCTGTCCATATCCCCTTCATTTTCACTATAAAACAAAATGGAAGGAAAAAAGGTTTGTAAGAATGCATCATAGACAATGTTATCTCTCGAGGTAACTAATTACATAAAACACACCTAGTCATTTATTTAAACAAACTTTTTGGGAAACTGCACATGTGGCATTAAGAAATCATTTTTATGTTGGCAGAAATCTCATTATTTATATAATTATCTGCTTTTCTTGTGGTTTCAGTTTCTCAATAGATTATGCAATAAAATGTGCTTTCTTGCAGTTGTGCTTCATTAAGCCTCTGTAGTGCTCCCTATTCTGTTTTCCAAAGCTAGGGATATTTTTTTATTGAACACAGCATTTTTTTTATCAGGAAAAAATTACCAGGTAGCATTAACTGTGATGTTCAGGTCATCTTCTGCCCTGGTAAGTGAGCTTGCATCCAAAAGAAAACTAAAATCCAGCTGCAGAAAAAATGAAACTTTTTTATAGTAAAATACTGTGTGCGTCACAAGTAACAACATATGTTAAAGACGAAACATTACATCATTAAACTAATTTGCAGTTTCCACTTTTTCCCAAAACATTTTAGCTCTGTTCTGAGCCCTGAAATTTATAGACTGCTATTGCTTGCCCCTTTTTATTTGGTCATGGTATACTGATTTGGTTGACTCTGGCTACAATCACTTTCCTACAAATCTAGCTAATATACAGAAAATGGAAACTGCTACTGAAAGCAGTTCCAGGTCAGAATTCAATGCAAGGTCACAGCATGCCTTAAATACACTTGCATCCTGGGCAGAGACAGACTCTATTTTTGACAGACACTTTGTCTCTGCCCAATTTACCCAATCACTTATTTCATGTACAGTGTAGGGCATATATATTGGGTCCCCTCTACATCTGCAGGTAAAGGTGTGATGTGATCTAATAATTCACATGCCACATGTGCATGGCAGGAAGCGTGCTTGTGGGATTGTACATTAGATCCCATCACACCTTATTGTTGGTGCAGAGGGAGCCCAGTCTCTGCACTGGCAAGAAGCAAGCATGGTGTGACATCAGTTGCAGTGTGTCAGCCACGGGGTTGCAGGGAGCACCTCCACAGCTGGGAGATTGCATGAGCTTCAGTATCCCAGCCACTGGGAGGCATGGGGTGCCCCCCTGGCTGGGAGCTCTGTCATCTGGGAGCTCCCAGGATCAGAGATGCACATAGACCTTCCCATCTGGGAGCTCCGATCAGCTAACAGGGCTCCCAACCACAGGGGCCCCTGGCCACATGTTCAATTAATGCAGGGACGAGCAATTATTTTGGTTGGAGGGCCGCTTACTGAGTTTTGGTTAGCTGTTGAGGGCCACATGGGTAGCCCCACCTCTTGACAGTTGCCCTGCCCCCAGTCACCATATTCGGACCAGGTGTCCTGCCCCCCCAACCCCTGACCTTTGCCACCAGAAGTCCCTCCCCTTGCCCTGAAGCACTCCTTTTGGGAAGGAGGGTGCTGCAATTGTGAAACCAGAACCGCCCCCCCCCCCGCCCCAATCATATATAAAAAATAAAACAACTACTATAACTTATTTTAATTTTATTTTAAATTTTTTTTTTGGTACTAGTTTATGTGTTTGCAAAGTGTACCTAGAAGTGATTGCATAATAGTTCAAAGTACAGTCCTACTATATATTGCATGTGGATGGTAAGGTGGTGTATGTGGAGGGGTGTGGTTAGGGAGTGGGTGTGTGTGTGGTGAGGTGTGGGTATGGTGGTTGGGTGTGGAGGGTGTGGGGTATGTGGTTGGGGTGGGGCCCCATTGCGTGCAGCTCTTGCAGACTGCGTGTGAGCCTCATGCTGTGCAGCACCCACACCCAGGCTCCAGGCTCCTGCCACCCCACACTGGGTCCCTGCTGGCCCCAGGGCATTGGCATGGGCTCTGCGCTCCCACCCACCACCACAACTCCCCTGCCATTTCCATGCTTTCCCTCCCCCATGCCTGTCCACCACTGCTGCTGTTGCTTCCCAGCTGCCACCACCACCAATCCCCCTGCTGCTGCCACTTCCTGCAGCCCCTGCTGCTACCCCCACCATGGATGCTTTCCACAGCTCCTCCTGCTCCCCATGCTGCTGCTGCTTCCTGCAGCCTCTCTGCCATGCCCCCTTCTGCTACCACTTTCCCCCTGCTGCTTCCCACTCTGGT